TTATTTTCTATTAAAATTAGCAGTCATTGCTGGTATAAAACTAGTTTTAAAACGTTCCGTTCTGCATTTAGTTAATGTGAAGTTAGAATTGTTTCTTAAGTCCAGTTCATGCGATTCTTCACGGAGTGGGGGTAAGAGGTGGTTGAGGTGAGCATCGGGTTTTAAGATCTTTTTGAATGTTTTAGCACATAGCTCTTGACGTCTGTCGACAAGGCGCTTGCATTTAGCGATGTTGAGAGCATCTTCGTAATCTGTTGTCGGATAAATAATACGGAAAGCTCTTTTTTGAACTTTTTCAATTTTATCCCCCAAACACTTTGGTAACATGGTGTGCCAGACAGGACAGGCATATTCTAAGATAGAGCGCACCATAGAAAAGTAGACTAGTAAGAGGTCATTGGGGGGAAGACCACAGCGCTGTAGGACACGAATAATGTATAAGCGTTTTGAGGCTTTTTTAACTAACGCTTCAGTGTTATCTTGCCATTTCAATTTATTGTTCATGGTTAAACCCAAAATTTTGAAAGAAGGAACTAAGTCTAGAGGTAAACCATCAATGAGGAGTCGGGGGATGTCATTCTCGCTACGGACGAAACTCACTATCATTTCTTTGCATTTCTTTCCGTTCAATTTCATGTTGTTATTAACAGTCCATCTTTCAATTGTGTTAAGATCAGATTGTAGGACTGAAACTTCATTTTTCTTTAAGGACTCCGATATTGTTACGTCATCCACGTATTTCCAATGGTCAGTGCTAGAGGATGCCAGTTCAAGATCGTTGATCATAATTATGAACAAAATAGGGCCCAATTTGGTTCCTTGAGGGACACCTGCGTTATTGATGCCCCAATCAGATTGGAAATTTTCGATCTTTACCGATTGACGGCGATTTGAGAGAAAGCTGCATATCCATGGAATAAGCGACAATCTGACGCCAAGGGCCAGCAACTTTGGGACCAGGATATTATGGTCGATGCGGTCGAACGCTTTACTGAAATCGAGGAAAACGATCCGCAGATAGCTCGATTTATCATCCAATGTTCTCAACCAATTGTTGATCATATCAATCAAGCAAAACGTTGTAGAGGTTCCTTTAAGGCAACCAAATTGTTGCGGGTTGATTTTATGTTTCACGTCATCCACCATCCAATTGACCACAAAGTCCTCAAGAATTTTGGACAAAGAGGCTGTAAGGGAGATTGGGCGCAACTCCTCCTCACAGGATACGGATGGCGCTTTAGGAATTGGTGTAATTAATGCATTTTTCCATATGTTAGGGAATTCACCAGTGGACAGAGATGTATTAAAGATGTGACATACAGGTTCGGCCAATTCGTACGCGAAATCCTTAATAATCCGGTTAGGAATATTGTCAGGACCGCTGGATTTGAAAACTTTTGTATTGAGCATCTTAGTGCAAACTTCGCAAGGGAAAATTTTTGGTACAGGCCTTGGTGCAGGGAGAAAGGCAGGTAGCAGGAGAGGATTCAGTGGTGGTAGGTCATTACTCACGCTTAAGAAATAGGTGTTAAGTGATTGGGCGAGATCTTTACCAGATAGAGTGGTACCATTCTTAACGATCTTAATGTTATTGGTTGCAGATCTTTTTTTCCCGGACATCTGGTTAACGCAGTCCCACCATTTTCTGGAGTCACTGGATTTTAGGTGTTGTACCTTGTTCGTATAATATGCGCGCTTTTTCACTCCTATGTCGTTTCGGACTTTAAGTCTATAGTGACGCCAGAGGTCAAGGTTACTAGAATGAAAGGCTTTTTGCCTTTGATAAATCAGTTTTTTTAATGCAGGCGTCATCCATGGTTTGTCAGAGTTATGAATTCTAATAACCTTAGACGGGAATAACCTATCAACAGCAGAATTTAACTCGTTGGTAAAGGAGGACGCTAGCAGCATAATAGTTGCGATTCCAGCAACATAAAGTACCGGTTTAAACATGATAATTTTTCCCAACTTACCTCAAATGCCTCGTGTTCGGGAAAATCAAAAATATGTTTGCGTGGTTTCAGTGTGACCAGATTTTTTCAGCAGTCGCTGACCAAAATATTTTTAAAATTTTACTAAATTATGAAATAGTTACGTCATCAAAATATGCCAAAAAAGGTATCTCGAAATACTTGTTGCTTTCATCGTATTGCAATTTTTGCGAATGATAAGGCTTTATTTCTTAGACCCCGTTTACACGATACCGGACAAATTTGGAACCGGTCTGAAATTCGGCCGTGTAAACACACGAGAACCACGGAACCGAACGAATTTGAGACCCCCTAACAGGACGAATTCGCGTGTAAACATGTGAAAAAGGACGAATTTCAGACCACGGGATCTTACGCCCGTATTCTAAAACCTCACTCATACTCAATGAGTGGAGGTTCAATCTGAGCTTCTCTCGAGTGTCATTGTTGTTTTTGAATAGCTGGAGGTCTAATGTCATACCTTACTATTCACCCTCCAGCTATTCAAAAACGGCATTGACACTCAAGTCAAGAGAAGCTCAGATTGAACCTCCACTCATTGAGTGTGAGTGAGCTTTTAGAATACGGGCGTTTGGCTTGGCAGTTCTCATGTGAATCACTTTGAGCACGTTATTAAACAAGAAACACACATTTTAACCAAAATGATTATGAATAATTAAAACTTTCAGATTTTAACAAAATTTTACCAAAAAAACCTACCAAATAATCTTGAAAATTCACGAAATTTTACCGAAAGTAAAACTTTTACCAAATCTGGTCACGTGGTTTGCCAATTTCGACGCAAGCGCGGTGGTATTTACCTCTGTTCGGACTATTTTTCAACAGATTGTTCATTTTAATAATGGTTTGACACGATGACTGTCTGACTGAACCTAGCCATTGTGCTGTGGTGACACAGGTCCAATGGACGACTTATACGCTTTAGAAAATTTTTTAAACTGGGAATAACAAAGGATATTTTCTAAAAGAAGTTATCAAAATTAGAAAAACTGCAAAGTTTGATTGCGAAATGTTGTAAAATACGGAAAATATAGCCCTGCGAAGTTGGCAAATTTGTATACATTTCTATTACGTGCGGAAATTGGTAACTAATTTAGTTACCAATTCACGCACGTAATACAAAAGTATACAAATTTGCCAACTTTGAAGGGCTATATTTTCCATATTTTACAACATTTCGCAACCAAACTTTGTAATATTACTAATTCCAAGACGCTCTTTCCAGCTGTGGTGATAAATTTCGTTGTTCTTACTTAGATTAAAATTTAGTCTAGAGCGCAAGTCGTCCATTATAAACTCACGCAATATTTATTAATTTCATTCGATCTAGAATACGTTTTTTACAAGATCTACGGGGACGATTCATTCATATACGAGACTGTATATCAACGGGGATGAGACATTAACGGGGATTTAACATTCCGTGGACACGAACAACAAAACTTGTCAATGAAAACCTGCTCGTCTGGGCTTAATATCTCATATCCAACTAGGAGGACTTGAATGTTGATAACATGACTATCAGATGTTAGGTCATAAAGACGGATAGGATTTAAGCACTATACAAAATGTAATGTCATATCAATGGTTATATGACGGGGAATTTATAGTAGAAAACGACTTTCGATATAGCCTGCGAACATGCTCTTGAATTGAATTAGACATTTCAAAGAGAGTTCAAAGAGAGCCTGTTCGCAGGCTACTTTCGATAGGGCGTTGATATCAGTTTCACATAAGTCTCATTCTCTGAGTGTCATTAGTCCCATGTGAAGATCGAACCCACAATCTCTCAGAGGTGAAACGCGCTTCACCTTGCTCCCGATAGAAATAATACATATCTATTATTTCTATGCGATTACGCCACCGAAGCCCACTCGAAGCCTTCTTATTCAAGAAAAGCTGGCTTTTCAGCTTGCTCGGTGTGTACACACTCGGATAGCTACAACTATGAATTTATGTTCAACCCAGAGGGTTCGGCCTTTGTGAATTTCTGTACTATATAGCCTACCTTTAGCTTTTACCATAGACAATCCAAAAGACATGTCTTTTGGACTGTCTATGCTTTTACCCAACAGTCACACAAAAGCCAAAACAACGGAAACTTTGGCATTGCGCGCTTTGCATGATACCATTATATTCATGATGCCATATTGATCCATGCAGCTATAGACTAAATTTTGATGAAGGAAAGAAGAACGAAATCCACCACCATAGTCACAGCTAGAAAAAGCGTCTTATAGAATGAGTAAAACTGCAAAGAATGGTTGCTAAATGTTGTAAAATGAAGAAAATATAGCCCTGTGAAGTTCGCAAATTTTGCCGTATAGCCTATATTTGTATTACATGCGGTGAAAATAACATTTTCCGGCGCAAAAATGGTTATTTTTCCGTCCATTGAGTGAATATATCAAGCGATATTTAATTATCATAATCCCAGCCATCATATCCAAGAATGGCGGAAGCACGCTTGTGTGTTTAGTGAGTGGGTCCAACTACCTCAAAGAGTATTTGTCACGGGGTGGTCTATAAAGAATACAATGCTAATTCATTACTGTCAGTAAAACAAACACACATTTCGTTTAAAAATGGTAGACGCGTAACCAGGATTATTCAAACCAATGTTTTTTCCATGTAACTTATTATCACTTGCCTGCTGAAGACTGCAGACTGGCAGTCGAAAGCTCGTTTAATAAATCTTTCTGAACTTAAACCAGAGAACGCAAAACTATTTACACATTTCGTTGTCTCATATTCATTGACAGCGTTGGATGACATTTACATATCCAGCCAGGAAAATTCACGTGTCATGATTTCCTCTCACTCATGACATTTGAATAATTTATTTAATATTCAACTCAAAGTTTTTGTATCTAGTCTTCTTCTGACATAACGATTAAGACGAGAATCCTTTGTGTCACGTAACACGCACACAAAACTAGTCCACTTGGTTATGATTATATTCAATTTTTTTAATTTTTGATCCGTTTCTCAAGCGGCAAACAAACTTTACAAGTATCTGAATTTTAAAAAAGTATGTCAAATTCTGCTAAAATGAAGAGATTTTACATGGTACGCCAAAGAGGAACTGATCTCTGAAATTCAGTAAATTTTGCTTATATTGCTGTATAAATATGGCGTCAACTTTACTATTTTTATAGCAGTAATAATTAACTAATAACTACTGAGTACTGTACATTTAAATTGACAATATCTAACTATTATTTTGTGTTTCCCAACCGCCAGATACGTTTAAAAAGGTTAGTGCTAACTGTGTAAACTACAAAATAAAGCGAAAACACAGTAATTTTGAGAGGGACGCCAAAAAAAATTAGGTTTTGAACTCTTTTCATCGGGGCAGGACTATTGGGAATCACGGCGGGCCATCATCTTCAAAACAACGGCTTCACAAATTTTCTGATACTCGAAGCTCAAGACTATGTGGGAGAATGAAGCAAGTAAAATTTGGCAATGTGACCGTGGGCGAACTGGATTCATTATGTGTGGAAGAGGGGGACGATCGATAATCCACTCCTGGGCTTTGCCAACAAAATAAATCTTAGGAAAAATTATCACCATAGCGATTTTACTCTGAGGTAAGCGAAACTAAACTAAACTACCTCTATTTAAAATGGATAGCTCTATAGTTCTAAACTGTTCTTCCTAGAGGTCCAGTAAGGATCATCTCTTATTGATCCAGTGTTACTACAGGAGGAAACCTAAACTAAACTACCTCTATTTAAAATGGATAGCTCTTCAGTTTTAAACTGTTCTTCCTAGAGGTCCAGTAAGGTCAGCTCGTTAACAGGAAAACTTGTCACGAGTTGACAAAATGTTAAATTTTCTTGTTAAAATTTCGATATGAACCCAATCTTGTTTCCCCGAGCATGCCCGTTCGCAGGTTAAGGGCCACCCTTAACCTGCGAACGGGCCGTCTCGGGGGACGAGATTGATATGAACTTTTATATAGGAGACATTTTCTCAACATCGCGTATTCGCGATGCAAAGTGTTCAAAATCTAAAACTGATCATTTTGGCGTTCCTCTTAAAATTACTTTGTTTCAGTTTTATTCGATATATTTTAGCAACAGTTGAAACAATAATTTACGAAACTCGCGTTTTAGTTGGCATTGCGATTTTCCTGCAGTTTTTTCCGTTCACAACCAGCACTGAATTTCACCGACAATTAAATGTTTTCATTCCACTAACTCAATAATCAGATTAGGTGAGCTGCACGCAAAGAAAGGTGAAACACGACGTGCAGTGAACTGATAGCTGTTAGTACTAGAGCCATCAAGACTCGAGTTAACATTGACGTTCAATGATCTTTTTTTCATGTCCAGATTGAAGGAAATATCAGCGGAACCACCGAATGGGACAGGAAGCTTATAAACCCACTTCTTTTTGCTTTGAGCCATATCTGCGTTAACTTCGTCATAGTCGATGATTCCAACTTCAGCACTGGGTTGACCAAAGTTAAAGTTACTCAATCGAACTTTCCACGTGTGAACTCCGGAATCAAAGTAACATCCACCTACTCTGCAACAGTAACCACAATCACCCCACATTGCACATCCACCATTAGTGATAGGACCTTTACCATGAGCATCACTTATAACCCACTTCACTTGTTTTGTCAAAGAACATTTTGGAGCAGGCGTTCCATTGATGGATACCTCGAACTTCAACATGCCAACCTGACGAGGACAAAAACTGATAGTGTAGGAGCTATCTTTATTATCAGTAACGGCAACATCACTGACCTCCATTCCAGTGAACGACGGTTTGATGTCCTGACCTCCGTATCTTAATCTTCGGTTATTTTTGTCGTGACAGATTAATGTTATGGAGTACTGTTTCTCAGCAATGAATGTTGCTTCAGTTTCTTTAAAGGAAGCCGTGCAACTTTCAGGATTTGCTACAGTGACATCTACGTCATAGTCTATTAACAACTTTTTCTTTTTTTCCTGCACCGACGAAGGAATGATAAACACCATGTCTTCAGTAACACAAGGCTTCGTTTGATCTTTAACTGCTTTCAGCTGCTCCAAAGACTGCAAAATGTACTTCTCCATGCTCAATATTTGAACATCGTTGCCATTCTTGAACGCTTGCTCTGTAAACTCGATGCTGCTTTCACAACTTGCTAAAGCCACTTCTAAGACCTCTAACTGCGCGTGAATCTGTTTTTGTCTAGAATTCGTGATCGAAGTCGCTTTTTCCATCATTTCTCTTTTCCGAGATTCCACAGCTTTCACAAGTTGATCGAAGTGCTGACTGATTTCTGAGAGTGTTGACTTCTTCTTAGCCTCCAGACCTTCATTAAATTTCTTCAGGTTTACAATTCCCTGTGCAACTCTTCCTTTTCTTTGCTTTACTTCATTAAGATTGCTTTGCAAATGGCGTTTTTCTTCGACAGCGACTTCTTCAACAAACCCATATTTATGCCCCTGATGATCAACGATGGTGCAATCTCTACAAATGGTTGTTTGACATGTTTTACAAAACAACTTGATGACTTCTTCCTTGTGTTTGGGACATCGTATCTTCTCAGCAATGTTCTGGGGACCTGGATTGGATTTCAATTGCTCCATGGTCACCAGCTCGTGATGTTTCATTGACCGAGATCGTTTATGAAAATCAGTACAATACTGACAAAGAAATATTCCACATTCATTGCAACGGCTTTGAGCAGCTTCTTCACTGTCACAGCTGTCGCAAAGAATCTTCTTCGCAGCGGGCTTGTCATTTGTCAGCGTCATTGTTGCCAGGAGATTGTTCACGAAGAAGTTTGATGGCAGAGTAGAAACAGTGTTTTCGTCGACCTATGCATTGGATAACGTTTTTAGAACAAGTAAGTAAAATTATCATAGAGGCTTTCTTGACGTCCAGCTACAAGTTGGCTAGTCAGGTCTATTAAACGACTGAAAGTTAAATCCAAATATTTGTTTTAGAGAATAGACTAGTTTTAAAGTAAGGACTAAACATACGATACCTGGATTTTAGTAACTTTACTAGTACATATAACAAGTTTTTTATATTTTTTATATATGGAAGATTTTAAAGTATTTTTTTCGGGATTACAAGGGCATACATAGCTTCGACACGTCCACACGTTTGTAATTTTCAAAACTGGGGAAAACAAGTTCCCTCAAATTTTTGCTGTAACAGGCAGAAAAACGTTGTAATGAATAGCCCACACCTCAAAGCACTCCTTAGACCATTTGAAAGTGCAATTTTCCAATAGCGGCAATTTTCTAACAGTTTGCATCAACCAGTAATAGAACTTTATATTCATTGGAGTTAACTTTCCAGTTTATGGAAACTTTGCTGCAAAATTTAGCTATATATACACACACTAAAAAACTCACATCTTTTCAACACTGAACAGACTTGTAACAAGCTTGCCAACAAGTTGTGACAACGTTGTCAGTTTGTCAAGTTCTATAAAATTGTCACTCACAACTTGTTAACAGTCAAAGACCTTGTAACAAATTATCAACAGGCCTTTGATAACTTATCGACATGCTGGGAACAGGCTGTCCTAACAATAAATACAGCGTATGATAGTTATCTGATCAGTGAACGTTTATGCAATTACTGTTTAATTAATGTTTGTTCCAAAAACGTAAGGTGAAAATGGACGGTGTTTCCTTCAACCAGCCATAACAAACCAAAATTTCCAAAATACTGAAATTATCCATAAAATACTGTATATATTTACTTCAGAAACGTTTTGTTGCATCTATTAAATGAGAGACCCACACTCTGAAATTCTGGCTAGCTTCAGGATTCGGAATAACCACGCCTTTAGTTTCTACACTGTCAGTTATCAGGTATTATATGGAAACGGAATAAAAATCAGCATACAATGTATTTACTGTAGCATCAAATACAGTTGACAAATACGATTTATTATTTTTGTGCACAGCAAAATGAGATATCAATGCTAACACGAGCAAGGAAAATCAATTAATCCAATCACTATACTGTACACGCATATTTCACGCACCTCAGTTATACATATAACTGATCAGGTTGACTTCAGATTGTGCTTGGCCAGAAAGAAAATTATTTTCCCTGACTCCAGAAATCTACACTCATAAAAACAGCCTCTCGATACAAACATCAGGAATTTCAGTTTCCTCAGTCAATTTTTACATACTAACCCATTGGGCATTGATCACCTGAGCACTCTCCCTTGATGAGTAAAATCATCTGGGCTTAGACAGTGAGAGTAAATCAGTTAAGTAGGCTGTATTGGGCACAATTATGCAACTTAATCGGTAATTAATTATTCATTTTCCTCACCTCTACTGCCAATCGACACTCGGGACAGTTGATAGTATTGGAATTTGCATTCTTGGCCAGGTTTACAATGCACACATGACAATATGAATGAAGGCAAGGTAAAACTTTGGGATCTTTAAATGGTTCCAAACAAACAGAGCAAGTCAAATGTTCCTCAACTTTATATCGAAGTGATTCAGCCATTGTAGCTACAGCTAAAAACACAATTACCATAATTAATGTATAATCTACAAAATTGACACTTTGTATGGGGCTAGAATTCCACTTCGAATCCCCTTTTATTATCAATTATGGTTGTGGTCAAAGTTTGTTTTTTGTATTTTCCTGTATTATTTGCCGTATAAATTATATGCATTCTGGCACTGATATTCAACATATTGATCATTGGATAAATTATATACATGAATTTTGCCGTTTGAATACCATCATAGTTGCCTGCGGAGGAGGCTTAAATATTAAAATATATTTATGTATTATATTGAGAAGAAATTAATGAACTCGGATTTTTTGGCTACAAGGACTGATTACCTCCCAGCAGGCCTAGAAAATATATTTTGCTTCATGCAGGAAAATCCAAAAGCAAGTGCATACAGGAAATATTTCTATAGGAAAAATTCCTATAAGAGTTTCGGACAAAATTTCTGTAGGAATTTTTCCTATAGGAATTTTTCCTATAGGAATTCTTATAGGAATTTTTCCTATATAGGAACTTTTCGTAAGGGGGCGCTGCCGGACATATTCCAGCACTGATGACAGCCTTCCAGACTGGAATCAATGCATGTTCCACCAGAAACTGTGGCATACAGATATTTTTGACCACTTATTTTGAACAAATATTAAGAATAGTGGGCTTTCTCATAAACACAGATTTTGGGTTATCAAGATTAATCCTGACTTGAAGATCAAATCTGTAAGCCAATCAGTGAAGCAAAAAGACACAGAAGGTTGACTTAATTCTTATATTTGCCTATGATTTTGGTGTAACCATTGCAATTGTGCTGGACGTCACCATGTTCCTTTAAGTCAGTGCACTTACGAGAGGCGTTCGATTTTAAAATGGAAGACGTTCAGGAGGATAAATATACCTCTCATAAGAAACACTGGCCAGGAAAATGACAAGTGCATTTTCATTGGGAATCTTGGCGTGGCAGCAGTTACACTTTTTAGCGGAGTTAACCTTCTGTGTGTCTCTACAGTATTTTGTGACCACTTGAATCCAATAAAGTTAACTCCAAGCACCTCTTTATTACTATTTGGGAGGAATCATATTTTGTGCAACTCAATTATAATTGAAAACTACCTAATTTTGCAATCTCTGTGCACAGTAAATACAGGCTACATTGGTGCGGCGGTGAAACAACAAATGAAAGCGAAAGAGACTGCTTCCGCCTTCCGGGCTCCAAAACTACAGGTAAAACATTCGGTTTTCCTAAATATTGAAAATTTCTTTCTGTAGCTATCGTCTCATATAGCCTCGCATTGATTTTATGTCGTATTTTCGCGTAGGAACTACATATACCAACACGACAACTTCAACCGGAAATGTTCGCAAAGTCAAACTGTGTACATTGTACAAATCTATACGCAATCAAATGTGGGGCACTTTTACATACTAGTATAATATAGTCTGTAGGTTAGATACTTCCGTATAAAATATCTACACTTCTAACCAGTAGTTCATAAAGTAAAGTTTATGGCAATTTAACTGCAGTACAACTCACCTTCTCATCAAAAATCAAACAATTTTGTAGCAAACCCAAACCTTTCTAAAACAGAAACAGAACGCTTCGGCTATTTCCAGGGTTGCCAGGTTTTCTGGGACAGAAAAAGCCAAACTGAATATCAAAATAAGCCAAAAAGAGCCAAACTCTAAATTGTGACGAGGGGATTGGGGATGTCGTCTATTTACACCGTTTTGGCTGACACAATCACACAAAGAGTGGTAGACTACAAATTTACAATTTACACTCGCAATGTTTTGCTATTTAATTTATGAAACTACAAATTTACTAGTTTATGACTTTATGTAACATATGATAAGGCCTCAGTTTATATGTAGTGCAGAAAGTTTACAGTTTACATTTATTGTTGTTGACTTGTTACTCAAGTAACTCAACTTCGTCTTCGTCATTCAAAGAATCAGTTGCTTTCTTGTAAATATCTTTTGTAAAAAGTTCCAGCATTCGTTTAGATGGCTTCAAGTCCTTGCAGCACATTTCTCTAAAATACAGATGAGTGCGGATTCTCACGATCGCTTCAAGCATGGAAGAACTCATCTTGTTGCGGGACTTCGTCTTGATTCCCGTAACGTAAGAGAACATGCGCTCTACCACGGCATTGCTTGTTGGCGTTGTAAGACAGGCTAGTGCATAGTTGCAAGATCTTCAAATTGGCCGTCTTGGTACTCTAGCACACCGGACCAAAAGCTAATGGTATCGGTCGGAATGCCATCTTCAAAAGTGCCACTCTCTTGCCAATTCACATACAAAATGCTGCGGTACTGATTGTCGATTTCATCAATCTTTTCGTGTATCAGATGCTGCATTGGTAGTTTAGCCAAAGCGATACGCCCAACTTGGTTTAGAATCTTCGAAGGGTGTAGATGGGATAAGCCTTGAAAAATGTCCTTAGAAGAAGGAAGACGTTTCTGAACCTGGGCTGCCGCTTCCAGAAGCATTGTGTGGCATCTCCCGTAGACTTTGTGAACTTTACGAACTGTATGTTCATCATTGTTTTGGTGGCGAATTAGGGCATCTGCTTCGAAGACAAACTTTGCTCCATAATTCACTTTATCTGTCGGTAAGGGTACACCAGACGAACTGTAAACACGACCTTTAAGGCTGTCATAGTAGACGCTGAGCTCCTTCATCATCGCATGTGCTTCAAGATCAGTTGCTTGGAAGAATGCATTCACTCTCTCGACTTCCGACACCACGGGTGATAGAAAGTGGAAGTAGAGATGGTTTATTGGATCATTGAGCATTTCTTTGATCATTCTTGCCTTAAATCGAACATTTGCATCTACTTCGGATTCCGCAAGAGAAAAATATGTCTGCAATATCTCCCAATTAGTGAGGATATTGTAGATTACTTTTCCCCGCACCAACCACCTCGTTTGATTGCATTTCTGAAAAGGAAGAGGAAGGGTTGACTCTTCTGCAGGGCATCCTTCGAATGCTGTAAAGAGCTGCTTGTAGGAATCACGACGTACACTACTCTTAGAGAACCACTTTGGTATTTCAGATAGCATGAAACCAATGTTTGCAGGCATTTTTTCAAAAGCATGTTTGATGCAGAGGGCAAGCGAATGGCAGACACACTTAATGAGGATGCAGTTTGGAGACTCTTCTTTGATACGGGACCATACTGAGTTATGCTCCCCGACCATAACAGATGCTCCGTCACTGGCATAACCGACACAATTCGCAAGACTTAGGCCAGCGTTCTCCAGCGAACCTTTCAGTGCTTGAAACAAATCCTCGCCCGTTGCTTTAATTACTGGTATGAGGCTCAGAAGGGCGGTAACGATTTTTTTCTCTGACTTGCTGTAGAAGCGAATGATCACGCAAAGAAGTTTATTACATGAAACATCTGTTGACTCATCCAAAATGACGCAATATTTCTGACCAGCCATATCTTCACACAAATCTCTGTACAGGGCAGGAGCGATCACTTCTTTGATTAGTAGGCTGCATTTAGTTCGATGTAACTTCAAGTGTTCCAGACTACTGCCTTTTCCATGGTTTACCATAATTTCGCCCAGGTGGTCGATGGCCATGATCGATGTGTGGCATGTTATTGCAAGAGCAAGTTGAAGTTCCATCTCTTTAATATGATCATTGACATTACGAGGTGCAAGTGATATTTTGGAATTATGAGAAACCAAATTTGCTTGTCTTTTATGCTTCGCAGATTCTTCGTGTTTGCTGATGTTTGACAACCTTGGGGTGATATTTGTTCGGCATGGCGAGCAATGCGCATCGACTGATCCATCCATTGCTTTTTTAATTCAGGGGTACTTTCTTGTCCAATCCGACTTGAACTTACGCAATGAATCATAATGACTCTTCCACCGATTTCCTCGATTAGTCGACGCCGTCGCCGACGGCTTGCTCAAACTCATTTTCAAAGACGTTAAAATAAATCACCTTGATTATTTTAGTTGTTTACGAATTAGTTGTTTACGAACTTAAAATTAGTTTTTAGAAGGATCAAAAATTTTTCATGGTTGTCGGACGTCTGCGAAGACAGTAGCAAATAGCAACGAAGTGAGAACTTTGCTGTCATTGGTTGGAACTTGGAAGTGATCCTATTAAATATTAAGCTTTGAAATTTTTGATAAAGAAAAATGAAGCTATATTTGATTAAATAAATACGAATATATGATTTTAACTCCATTTTATAAAAAGAAGCCAAAATAAGCCAGATAATAAAGATAAGCCAAACAATATTTTCCTAAGCCAAGCGCAAGAAAAAGAAGCCAAAATCGTGAAATCTGGCTTAAAAAGAGCCAAGTTGGCAACCCTGGCTATTTCTTGGAAATTGTTGGAATACCGAACATCAAGCCTGATGACGTCAAAGTGGTGTAGATAAAAGGCGGACGGATAAAAGGCGGACTGCGGACGGCGGAACATTTTATAAACACATGATTACTACCGCAACTTATTATAATACCCTAAATTAAAGTATACCAGCCTTACATCTGTAAATACAAAAACAGCATTTAGAACAAATTTTTTTCCAAGTTCGCGACCTATCCATGTCAAAAACGGTATTAAGATTGTCCATGCATATAATAGCCGAATTCATATTAGAAGACGGATTTCCGTCTAAGCCGGGAAACTCGTCTCAGACGAGAAACTCGTCTTGATATATATTCGGTTAACGACGGGTTTTCCGTCTCAACTTTTCCGTCTAACTTTCCGGTCTGAACGACGGGAACGTTAGACGAGTTTCTCAGAGTTTCTCGTCTTAAACGGAAATCCATCTTAAATCCGTCTTAAATTTATATCTGCGAATAAATCAAGACGGATTTCTGCTCGTAACGTTCAAAAGAGACTGGGATGGAAAGTCTCCTATTTTTTCGGGTTTATCCGTCCGATGGTTTTCGTTTCATACTTATACCAGACGGAAATCCGTCACACGAGTTTCCCGTCTTAGACGGAAATCCGTCTCCTAATATGAATTCAGCTAATGTCTTTGAAAAGGTTTGATTTTAGTGTGACGATGCATGAGTAGAGTATGATTTAATATCTTCAGGCAGTTTGTTCCAAAGAGGAATGACTGTGTTTAAGGTAAGGATTTCTGAAAGAGGATGATTTGCATAGATTAAGTCGGAGGTTTTCTATATAGGTTGTATATATGTGGTCTACATGCTACTTTCAGTATAATAGTTCTAATTCTTCGTGTCCAGATTTGATCTTGTAAAAGAAAACGATATCTTTTAAAATCTCAAACCAGTATATAGGGAATTGCATGGTATAGTTGATTAAGTTGACGTTTTAAATGGCCGGTTGAACGGTAATCTTGCAGGATATATTTATGTATTTATATATTTATGTTGATTGTGCGCCACAATTAACACTGAACCCCCACAGCACTGGACTTATGGAACTTTCATACAAGTTGTCAATCTGTGGAGGAAACGCCAACGAGTGCAGCTCTTCCCATGCATGATATTTCTGGCTTGTGTTTGAACGCAGTGTAGCATTGCAGTGTTATATGGTGTCGCTACACTTGACATGTGAGACCATTTTAACTATTTTTGTCCGAGTGTTTTGCGAGGTCATCCTCGATCACACGAAGCTATTGTTCGAGCTTCAAGTCGGCCACAGACGAGCTAGCGACTATTCTATGACAAATTTTAATGTGATAAGTTTCGTTTTATTCGCTCGTTCGTATTGGCAACTTTGACAATCTTACTGTGACAAGTACACACTTGTTGTACACTTGTAAACTTGTAAACTTGTATCCTAGCTTTTGAAAAAGTGGACTTGTCATAGAAAAAAATGACAAAGTACAAATTTTGTTGTCTGCACATTGGTCAACAAAGTAATTTATGTGGTTGGTCAGCGATGTCGGTATTGTTGTAATAGCTAACAGTATAGCTGTCATGCCGGTCAGAGTGCTTTGACAAAATGGCTGAGACTGTTTTGACAAGTCAAACTTGATGCCCCCCTCTTTCCCTCAGATCAATTTTACAAACAATCTTCATACCATTTTCGGTAATTTACAATGCCATGATATGGTACTTTATTTTAATACGCTAAGCTCTACAGCAACATCTGATTTCCGAAAGAGATTTAGATATGAATTTCAACATTAGTCATTCGTTGTGCATGGTAGGGGACCCGGGTTCAATCCTTGGTCAGACCTCTACTCAAGGTTTTAAAATAATTGAGGAAATTCTACCTTTACATTGACATCAGTAAATGGTTAGACTTTCGCGTCTTCTCGGATAGGGACGTTAAAATCGTAGGTACCTCGGATCCCTTATCTATTGAGCAATAGCCCGTCGGAAATCCGTCAGCATGAGCTCCATCTTTGAATTTACTATATGAGTAAATTCTTAAACACGTCCGAATTTATCATTATGATAACTGATTCGCGCACATTTTGAATTCATCATAATAATAAATTCGCGGCACCTAACACTAACCCCAACCCCAACCCTAACCACTAACCCCTAACTTTTCTAACTTTTTAAATTATTTAAACTTTTTTAACTTTTTTAAGAATCTAACTTTTTAGACTTTTGAACTTTTTTTGCTTTTTAAAACTCTTTTAAAACTTTTTTAAAAACTAGTTTTTTGAAAATCTTGAATATGTTCCTACTTTGCATATATATATCAGGACGTTGGTCATCGAGTGTAAATACGTGTGGGAAAATCAAATCAGGAAAAGGAAAGGGGTTACAAATATATAAAAGGGTCTATTTTAAAGCCAGCAGCAGGGTATGCGCCTCGGGCGAGAGGCGTGGTAATTTATAAGAAAAATAACAAATAATAGAGTCAGATTATTAAACCATACTGTTTGAACAGAGCTAGGGATATCCGAAGATTGTCTACGGACTACGGGCGTGAAACTCATGCAAAGTATGTAACTATTCAAGTTAGAACTGAATAAAAAACACGTTCCACTTTACCGTACTGAGAACTCTTTGACTCAGGGGCGTAGGAAGCATCAAAAAGTGGGGGGAGGGGGGGACCGGTTTCGAGGGGCACTTTTGGAATGAAAAGGTCACCTAAAACATTTTTCCCGGAAATGTTGGCGACGAGGGAGGGGTGGGGGAGGTAGGGAAGGAATAGATGCAATCAGAAATCAAAGGCGTACGTTGAGGCCGACTCACGGATGAGATCAAACCGGATCATTATCGACGAAGTAAACACGGTTGTGACTGTTCCATTATGTGGATTTGGAGCTTGGTCGACGAATGGACGGCCGTCTGATATCGATCGAAGTTAACAGTCGCACAGTTCGTAACTGACGTGGTTATTGTCCCTGCGGGTGGTTATGTGGTCATTGAGTTCATTGCAGATAATCCAGGATGGTCGTATATGCATTGTCACATTGATGGGCATAGTATTAAATCGTGGAATGGCCATTACTGTTAATGAACTTCCTGAGTGCCAAAACCGTCCACAAAATGACAACTATAATGTTGGCGACAGTTATAAAGACTCCAAAACTCTATTTCTCGAGTACGAAGAGAGTGGTGACTACTGCGGTACTAGGGTGAGTTTACACTATCTGGACGAACAACAACAATAAATTTTATACAACTAATACAAATTACGTTTCCATGGCATCAGAAAGAGAATTGCTCAGAATTTCAAGTCAGTTAGTCACTGGGGGGGGGGGGGGTGCATGCAAAACGAAAATTCTTATTGTCTATTTTAAAAGAACTTTAAAAACAATCGAGTAAATTCTTGTGCAGTTTTTCGTTCCGTTGTTCGTCTTCGAGATATTTCAATGACGCGTGTCAAGGTCTCTACGTCATTGGTGATTGATTGTCTGGAATTGTTACTACCTATAATTACTCATCTAGTCAATAGTTCGCTTATCAATGGATATTTTCCAACTGATTGGAAAGAGGCTCTAGTAAAACCCCTTCTAAAAAACCCAGGACTAGCTGCTTTGTTCAACCATCTGCGTCCGATCAGTAACTTGCAGTTTATCTCTAAACTAGTTGAGCGAGCAGTTTATGATCAGATCTATGACCATTTGATGTTGCATGATTTATTCCCGGAGTATCAGTCCGCATACAGGCAAGGATATAGTACTGAGACCGCCCTTCTGAAGGTCCAAAACGACATACTTTTGAATATGGATTGTCAGCAGGTTACCCTTCTTGTTCTTCTGGACCTTAGTGCAGCGTTCGATACTGTCGATCACAGCATTTTATTGCACCGATTGGAAACATCTTTTGGGATTACAGGAACTGTGCGAAAGTGGTTTGAATCCTACCTATCTGGACGATGTCAGCGAATAGCATTTAAAGATGGAATCTCTGACATTTTTCCATTAACGTGTGGCGTACCTCAGGCCTCATGTTTGGGACCGCTGCTTTTTACCATGTATGCAAGTAAACTATTTGATGTTATTAAAGAACATTTACCAACTGCGCATGCATATGCTGATGACACGCAGCTTTATTTGTCGTTTAAACCAGGGAACGGTGCGAGTGAGGAAGAGAGTATCGCAGCGATGGAGACATGCATTAAGGCAGTACGTACGTGGATGACTAAGGACAAATTGAAACTGAATGATAAGTATGATAGTAAGACTGAGTTTTTGATTATCGGTACAAGGCAACAATTAAAAAAAGTGAACATTGTCTCGCTTCCTGTAGGCGATGTCAACATTACACCGGTAGCATCTGCTAGGAATTTGGGGACTGTGTTTGATAGCAATCTGTGTTTGGTACCCCATATCAACAATACACTATGATGTAGACAAGCATTTTTCCACCTACATAATATTCGCAGAATTAGAAAATATCTCTCCGTTGACGCAACTAAAATCTTAGTCCATGCCTTTATCATGGGAAGAGTGGATTATTGTAACAGCCTTCTCTATGGTCTTCCAGCAAAGTCTGTAAATAAGTTACAACGTGTACAGAATGCGGCAGCCCGGCTGGTTTCCGGTGCTTCTCGTTTCAATCACATTACTCCAGTTTTATATGAGCTCCATTGGCTGCCTGTCCAGGAGAGAATAATCTTTAAGATATCTGTATTGACTTTTAAAGCAATACATGGATTAGCGCCATCATACATTAGTGAAATGGTAACAGTTATGAGACCAAGTAGCTATCAGCTGCGCAGAAATAAGGAACTATTGATAGAGCCAGCTAATAACAGAAATACGAAGAAGACTTTAGGTGATAAAGCTTTTAGTTTTGCAGCTCCTACAGTTTTTAATGCCTTGCCGCATTTTATCAGACGAGATAGTAATTTTAATAGCTTTAAGTCTTCATTGAAAACATATCTTTTTCAAATTGCATATTGTACATAGATTTATCCGCTTATCTTAGCATATGTAAATATTATTACTATTACTATATCTTTGTTACGCGCATTTGATCATATTCTCATGTAAATTTGCGCGATATAAATATTAAATTATTATTATTATTATTAAATATATACCTGATGAGTTTCCTGAAAATGTTATATTGTTGTTAGGCCATATAAAAAAAATAGTTGGTTAGCGTCCTTAGCTTTTGCCAAAAAGTGGGCGGGCGGGCGCTTTTTTTTAATTTTTACGAATTTTTAACGCCTTGGTTTTACTCACTGTTAGGTCCGAAACTGGATTTTCTTGCGCAGTACAGATATGTTTTTATATATTTCAAAATATAATTCATACCGTCATTTTCGCACGCAATTTCGCAAATTATTAACACAATTGACTACAGTCAACAGAAATACTACATATATTAGAGCCCGTTGATCAATAAAAGTCGGGTTTTTTTAAATAAAAAATAAAAAAAAATCCTGAGCGGGGCCTTTTTTGTGGGCGTACGGGGACGCTAACCAACTATTTTTTTTTATGTGGCCTTATGAAATACAATTACTAGAGAATCCAGGCATTTGATGTTGTAGAACAACTCAAATAACTATACACAGAGTTCTAGGGAGTACGGATGCATGTTTCCCGGATATTTTTGAAATTTTAATATCTGAAATGGCATTTCCTTCGTTCTGGGGACTGAAGATTTCAAATTACCCGCTAAAACTCGATACAGCACATCTTCAAGATATCTGTTCACATGAACTTTTTGAAGTATCTTTAAATTCGCGTTTCGTTTTAATTCAGATAATTCAATTCGATAATTCGTTCCATATCCGAACAGCTCAATTTTTGCCCGAAATGAATGCATCAATTTGCTGACTTATTTAGGAGGGGGGATGACCATCATGTCGTCTCCCTACCACATTATTACCTTTGGGAATTTATCTATAAATGCGCGCAAATAATAAATACGTATTTTAACTTCTGTAGCCATCTACGACACCAGTACCTGAATATAAGCCTGCGACGAAGGAAACTAAATCGCAGATATCTATATTTGGTAAAATTACGCGATATCTGCGGCAGAAAATCTTCGCTGACGACCACGAGCAAGTATCTCCGCATTACAAACGATTATTCCAGCGCGTTGGAGCCGACACTGAGCAGCACAAATTTCAAGATCCCGGGAAACGAAATGGGCACACCTCAGAGCCGGACGAACTCGACTTCGCACCCGACGAGCAAGTATAGAAGAATCCGTACGAGGAACGATAACAAAGATTGCACATGAACTGAAGCTTTTTGTAGATTACTAGAAATAGAACAGTAGACGAACAGAAATAAGAACTGCAGACTGCATTAGTTAAGTTTATAATGACTTTATATAAGGCCTTAATTTTAGCGTAGAACTAATTGAACTATATTGTTGGACCAGGAACTGGTCCCCAATTGCTGCTAATCTTCTTCTTGTTGACGCTCTTAAATCATCGGGGCCGTGTAGCTGTAGTTGTAAATGCTCGGGCGGAGTTGCCGTAGCTAGCTTGGAAGGTTTGAAATTGGATATAGCAATCCTAGAATCACGTCTTAACTTGGCTAACCCGAGCGACGAGATACTTTCAGAACTAATTTTAATCCAAAATAAGCAACGGGATATTGAAGCCACTATCCGAAAACAAGATGAAATTATATGCAAACTTTACGAGGATAATACATTTTTTAAGTCGAAATTA